CTTGTTTTCGGCAATATAAAGCGACAACTTCTGTTATTATTATTCCAGTGCGTTCTACGTCTGCTATGCATCTTTCATTGCTTTAGTGAATAATGTACAGTTTAATCGATAGTAATCCTGGAAAGACTGTCAGTGCGGCGGCATTCGAGTGCAACGCGTAATCTAATACGAGCGTTCTTTGGCTTGTTCTTGACGAACCGTCGTCAATGGAGACAGGATCTACTTATCTATTCCTCTATCAAACCTGGCACAGCGTTATTTTTTTAACAAAAACCCAAATCATCGCTACCTAAAATACTAGTTATATTTGCGATTATACCTACGTATCATAGTACTGCCACTAGGCGCCATGTAACGTGTGCGCCCAATTTCTTGCCGACGTTCAATTATAGTCTACAGTCTATGGTGGTACCCTGTAGAAACGACGTTCTGGCTTGAACAAGAGTATATGAAAAGCATAAAGCCTAAGTATAACTTCTGATCACCGCACAATTTCAGGTCAATCAAATAATCTATTAAAATATTTCAACTGTTTAGTTGTTCTTTAATCGAGAAAAAAAAAAAAATAGAGTCGTGGCCCTTCTGGGCTGCATCCGCGGTGAGCGTTCCTAAACTCTTCAAACAATCCCTATTGAGCGAACCCCAATAGCTATATTATTTAGAAAAGTATAACAGGTCTTAAATAGACATTATAGAGAATGCGTGATTTAACAAAAAGTCTTTCTTTCTAAAGATAGCTATGCAATGATACGTAAATGGACGTACAGCGGCAGCTTTAGCAAGGCTCGAAATTTCCATACATGTTCGATTTTATAAAAATCTAATTAAGGACACAGTTATACGCTATAATATTACTACGAATAATGACGGTTCGTGAAGCCCGTGTTATTTTTGCGAATGAAACAGTACGTTCAGAGCACGCAATCTAATACCCTACAGTGGTTATAATGTCGAAAATCGCAAAGAGACAAAAGTGAACTAGCCATTAACAGTAAAGCAACTTAGCAATACGAAACCTTAGCGAGGGTTCCTGTTCAAGATTAATCGCCACCACCTTTCAGTTTATTATCAACAGTTTCAAAACACTGATACGAACCAGTACCTTTTTAGTAAAAAAAAAAAAAAAAAAAAAAGCTGAATGCGAAGACAGCAAACGGATGGGGAAATGCGTTTTTCAAAAAGGAAACATTTTTTCCTTTTTACCAAACGGTCGGATTTGGTTGAACTAGCACTCCATCTGACCCTATATAGCAGGTTCTATTATACCATGTAAATTTTGACAACTCGAAAGCTTGGAATAGGCATACATCTTTTCGGTAAGCTCTGATTCCACGGAGATTGTAAAAAATGCGAAAATTTCTTTTCCTCGACTTTCCATGTGTGAACAACAGCGGCTCCGAAAAGGACCTCAAAGTTTTGAAAGGAAATACTATAGCTGATTCTCAATTGATTAGACTCATCTAAATCAGTGTATCCAATTATATTCTTCTCAATTTTCGAAAAATTCCTACTTATCTTTTATTTGACTGTTTGAATATTTCACTTTTTCTGTCCTTTCACTGTTATAGTACATCTCGGCATAGTTTTGGTGGTCACTACATCTAATGTACAATATTTTCGATCAGGTTCAACAAATGTACACACTTACCTGGTCAATAAGCTTTTCGAAACCTCTGCGTTTTTTCTCTTTTACTCGGACATTCACTTCATTCATCGGCTCACGTCCATCTTCAAAACGAACACAATTCAACTTTTTATTTTTTTTTTTTATCTTTGTTTGATTCTCCAGGCCTAAAATGCATGAATTTTATGAACGGTGGAAGAAAAATGTCCAGCTATGCTGGCCCACATACGTATGTACGTAATGGAGAAATCCGCTCATGTAGCTCTTTCTGGTTGGAATGCAATATAAATGATATTGTTTGTTTGGGCAGAACGGCTGGTTACCGTACAGACTTATGGACCTACACTATATTCTTACTGGCACGACGAGCCGTTATGGTTTGAAATCCAAAAGAGGCTGAAGAGAAAGAAAGCCGAAGAGGTTCATAGACTAAAGGGTCCTGTCGAAGGTTCGATCCAAGCACCCTTCAGTGAAGTAACTAAGAAAGGCTCTTTTAAAGATAGATATAACATACACACACTACTTTAGCTCATCGAAAGTCCTTCATGTGGGTCAAGGAATTTGCTTTGACATTGAATATTTATAACAAATTCAGCCCTAATAAGTGGACCTATCAGTAATGTTTTTTTAGTGTTTGTCAAAATGGTTGTTGTTTTATTAACACATCAACACGACCTTTGATATTTATTTGTTTTGAAGGTCCGCCCCTACAAGACTAGCTTGGTATAGTTAAGTGAAAAATTTGTCAGTCTAACATCATTTGCGAACGAATAGCACGGGTCAAGGTTTGCCGTCATGAGAAGTTTTGTCACACTGCAATAGATCAACATTCGCATGGGTGTTTCTTGTTATTTTAGTTTTACTAAAAAAATGTACTGTTGTCTGGTGCTGCTTAGGATAATTTTGTTAGTCGATTGTTAGTTTGTCCTGCGAAACCGAATTTAGCATCCTACCTATATGCTCAATAACTCCACGAGAACCGCCGTGCTGCTCACAGCGAAGAGGAACTATAACGCTGGCATAATTATACCCCACTTTAGCGTTGGTGATTATCCATACATAGCCCTCTGTAACTTACAATACTCCTGCACAATAGCAACTTAATTATTTTCGCTATTACTAAAGAGTTCACAAAAAGGAACGTGTCCTAGTACGATCATAATCATAATAATAATAATAATAATAATAGTACCGCAGTGCTATTTAGGAATAGGCTTTGTGTGCGATAAACAAAACACTTCAACTTCTGGGTCAGGCTGTGACCAGCGTTTTCTAAGTACAGCACCGCTCTTTAAATTTGTGCTAGCCTCCGTTCCCAGATAGTACTTTTGATGTTCAGATAAGAACCCAAGGGAGCTGGTGTTAAACCACTAACTGACGCATTATATTAATACAACGAACTGTTAACTATTAATATATTGAACTAAAATTATAATAAAATTAGATCAATACATAGATTTGTTGTTTATAATTTTCCGATGAGCAAAGATTACATAGCGTTGAAGAGCTCTTTCAGATCACAAAAATTGTATTCCTCGAGCTCGACACGTGAATACGTTGGACGCCAAAAATAAATAGGTCAAAAATAATGAAATTTTCAATTCAAATTAAAAATGTTTATCAGTTTCTATATTACAACGCAGCACTGGAATACATCAAAGGTTGCGCGGGTTACTGAAGGTTACAAATTCGATTTCATTCACTCACACACGGACCGAACCGCCCAACGGTAACATCGAAACATATATGAACGTGTCACCTAACCGTTTAAACCATTAAGTTTATTTATTAGGAACGCTGTTTATTACGGATTTATGTTTAATACAATGTACGTCGTAGTTATCGAAAGCCCACACAAAATTATTAGTGAAAAAAAGATTTGCATTTCTATACGGCGTACTCTTGTTTCCGTTATAAACCTATATCTGGAAGGCGTCGTTTATACCCTGATGTCGTTGAAGCTGTTATCGCTGCTGCTACTGCCATATTCTAGATTACGTATCATTTTACGACTCATTACGCAAGTTCTGGATTTTTCATGGCTTCATCAACGAGATGAGTGGTTTAATAGCATCTTGGGGGATACTCGAACGACAGCTATGAGTCTTATAAGGCGAATCAAGCGCTCGTAAAAGCTAGTTGTAAAGTAATGGCCAACCGGTGTATATAAGAAGCAGTTGGGTTTCAATATTAGAATGAGTTACAAAGACACATTCAATTCATTATACAGTCTGATGAGCAACAAAAAAAAAAAGCAAGGGGAGTCGTCGCAGAGAGGGCAATAGGCTTTCCATCGGCATATTCAAGGCAATGTCAGGATAAACTCGATATCACCGAGTAGCAATAATGGATAACCGAAATCGTTCGCGTTACAGCTACGGAGAGAACGTGCTGCCGACTCAACTGTTTTAATGGAAAAATTTCCAATAATAGGCGTATTATCGCAGTGAAGTCGCGCGGTCTACACCGCTTCGTTTTCCTGATAATTCCGAGTTCAAATCAATTTCGACAACCTCGAAGTTCTAGCTAAAGAAAAACCAATGTTGACGGCAGATGATCACTAAAATCCGTCTTTGCTTGAAACGATTGTCATGCACACGTGATTATGATTGTCTTAGTTCTATAACAGTATAGAATTAACACGATTTAGCGCTTCTACGTTATATCGTTACATAAATGCATTACATTTGCAATAAAATCCGATAATACAATGCTATAGAATCTCATGAGGCCGAGAGGTTCTCTGGCTCGGGGTTGACAGGCTGCTTTTGCTCTGACTGTACACAAACGAAGCACTGAAGAAAATCCTTTAAAGGCAAGCATAATATCGAAAAAAGCCATTCAGATATTTGTCTTTCTCTACTATCGCAGCCGCATAGACACATACAGTGGTTACGAGATCTCGGTTTGGCAAAAACGACAAAGCTTCTCCAAATAACAAAAGGCAAATGGAAAACCCCCGCCGGCCACTTTGACGAAAAGGAAAAGGAAAAAACAAAAGGATGGCATAGGTATGCGTGCGTAATCACCATTTATATTGTGTTTAAGTAAATGAACCACCATCACAGCCAGATCTCTCATTATCGTACTGCTTTCTCTACACTGACGACCTCCCCTCCACGCCGACAACAATATAAAGTTGCAGTCGCCATACGAAGTGGTCGGGAAATCATATCTGCGCGACAGCGTGAAAGATCATCACGAGACAATGATAAGTAGAGTAGATGAACCACTACGAATGACAAAAATACACTTACAAAGTAATCAACAAGATAACTGCGACGCAGCGCTGTAAGTCATAGTGCCTTCCTGCGTTTTGAGAGAGGATAACGGAATAAATAGGGGAGCCAAGCTTCTAGTGAAATAAAGCACGAATGGATGTTTCTTTATCCATGTACATATATCGATATATATGGCGAATACCTTTCAAAGTTAAGTGTAGGAATCATTAGATCCTAGGTGCTTTTAGGCGCTTTACATTTGTGTTTGTAGTAGTCAATGCTGTTTTGAATTGAATTAACTTCGTGAACGTGCTGTAACTGAAACAGAATGCCTCCGGCAGCAAACGGGAACGAGCCGGCAGCCGGTCAAACAGGCAGCCATTTTGCAAGCGAAGATGCCCCCGAACGAGCGAATAAGGGCCACATTAAGGAGAGACGCATTTCGGGTGCGGGAAACACGCTTGTGTTTACTATAAAAGAGGGCGTGGGTGCCCTAGCGAAGACTTTACAGATATTTACGCAGAACAACATTAATCTCGAGCATATTGAATCGCGAAGCTCACAAAAGGTAAAGGACGCTTACGAGTTCATTGTCAATTTTGATACAACGTACAATGGCGACATTCGAAAATGCATCGAAACTATTAAGGAAAATGCTGAGCACGTAACCCTGTGCACAAGGGAAAAGATCTGCCGCCATATACGCGAGGAGGTTCCGTGGTTTCCACGTCGCATTCAGGATCTGGATTTATTTGCAAACCAGATTCTCTCATACGGTAGTGAACTAGACGCCGATCATCCGGGCTTCACTGACCCAGTCTATCGCGCTCGTCGGACGGAACTGGCCGACATCGCATTCAACTACAAACATGGTAAACCAATACCGCGAATTGATTATAACGAAAATGAAATCAAAACCTGGGGTATTGTCTTTAGGCAGCTGATGAAGAAATACCCCACTCACGCATGCCGAGAACACAATCATATCATGCCGCTTATGGTGGAGCACTGCGGGTACCGTGAAGATAATATTCCTCAACTAGAAGACGTATCTAATTTTCTCAAACAGGCGACCGGTTTCATCCTACGCCCGGTAGCAGGACTTCTATCATCTAGAGATTTTCTGGCAGGATTAGCGTTCCGTGTGTTCCATTCAACCCAGTATATCCGTCACCATATAACGCCATTCTACACTCCTGAGCCTGATGTGTGCCATGAGCTCCTTGGTCATGCACCTTTATTCGCCGATCCAGACTTTGCCCGGTTCTCCCAAGAGATCGGACTGGCTTCACTGGGCGCACCTGACGAATACATCGAGAAGCTTGCAACCTGTTATTGGTTCACTGTTGAATTCGGCCTGTGTCGTCAAGATGGCGAACTTAAGGCATACGGCGCAGGACTGCTATCATCGTTCGGGGAGCTAGACTACTGCCTCAGCGATAAGCCTGAAATTCGGGCGTTTGATCCGGAGGTAACCGGAATACAAAAGTATCCGATAACAGAATATCAGCCAGTCTACTTCGTGACTGACAGTTTTCAACAGGGTCAACAGAAGATGCGTGAATTTGCACTGTCGATTCCTCGTCCATTTAATGTTCGTTATAATCCATACACACAGCAAGTAGAATTGCTTAACTCTACACATCAGCTGGAAATGCTCGCGAATGACCTTTCTATTGAAATGTCACTACTTACTTCGGCTCTTAAAAAGATTCAAGATTAATTAAAGTTACTTGCTCAAGAATAACTCGGCTGACGTGGTAATATACTTCTATTAGTATGCATTTCGCACAGGATTTTTTTTTAATCTGTCATCTAAGCTACTTTTAGCTGTATTTGAGCTGATCATAGGTATAACCTGCTGTTGTAATAAAATCAGTTAACGATGATTTGTCATTTGATGATGTAAAGTCATTCGTTTTTTAGTTTGTTTAGTTGAGTATGACTCTTTTTCTTTACTGCTTGTTCCGTTCGCATATATAGAGTGTTCGGTGAAGTTACGTCAACTTGCTTAATTTTTTCGTAGGTGCAAGTGGCATTCTTTGTTTAAAATCGTACCAGCCCTACGAATGGGAATCAGGTTTGATGCAAGAACGCTGTTGTAAGCACGCAAGCATGTACTGGCAGAAGAAAAAAAGCTCCACAAAAGACTTTTTAATGAACAGCAAATCGTAATTATTCTTCCATTTGGTTCGTTTTTTTTTTTTTTTTTTTTAACTTCATGTATTGTTCGAGCGAGCAAAGCGTGTCCGCAGACAATTCGGCACACAAAACCGGCAGGAGCAAATCGGAACGAACAAAGATTCCTAAAAAATGTATGGCAATTACTGGAATTAATTTCAGTCTCCCAGAGCTAAAGAACTTTATTTATTCTACAAAACAGTCACAAAAAACATTTGGTTTGCCAGCTAGTTGTCTGGAGAGTTCTACATTGATAGGGGTTAGTTGCACTAGTGTCACAAGTCGCCTCCATACAAATAACAACACCCTGCTTTCCTGATGTGGAAGTGCCATTGACGAGCGTTTGACCTTATGTAAATTATTGTTCATACGGTAAAGAAGAAATAATTTATGTAGAAGATCAATGTTGGAAGGTTTCTCCTCAAAGCGGGAGTGTTAAATCTTCGATCAAAAAGGCACAAGTCGTACGATTTGGTGGTAAGTTGTCTTACTAATACTGGGGGGTAAAGAGATTTAGAAGGACAGTGAAATGAAGATTATTGCAGACTGTGCCTCATTAAACTAAGCTTAAAAATTAACTATAAGGACGTGTAGTCAAACAATCGGGCACAGCGATTTTATTGCACACAATACAATGCCTTTGCTATTTTCGTTTACTCTAAGCGGCTTTGTCGGAACAGCAAACTTTGGCAGCTATAGCGAAAAGTTCTTGTATGCCTAACGTCCAAGTTGTGATGCAGACTTTAGGCGACCTATTGGATTATGACTGTTCAGGCCTATGCAGCATGGCTTGAAGGAGAAGCGATTCAAGACAACACACGTAAATGCCAGCTTAAATTACTCAGTTGATCATCTCCGTAGATGCCGCCTTAACTATCCAAGGAGTTTTTCTGCAGTCGAAGGAGTGGAGAAAGGCCACGAAGAAGCAGACAAATAAATTTAGTGTATCTCTTTAGTATAAATTAACGCCCTTTGAAGCGAACTAGAAAAAAAAAAACTAAATTGCGTTGTATGAATACTTGAAAAAAAATGCAGAAGCGAAACTCACGGTTTTTCGTAAAGAAAACACATTTTGACGCAAGTTTATAAATAGCGTTTTTTAAATATTTTTAACGTAAACTTAAACTTTTTGTATAAAAACGAATGACCGTTTTAGAGAGATGCATATCGATTACCAACTGGGTCATCCAGATATGCTCCAACAGTTAGTCTTTTTGACTTTTCTGCGCATTCCGCACCTATTTTGGTTGTTTTAAGCGCTTGTATTTTTAGGATTTTTGGTCTACCGTCAACCTAAACTTTGATCGCGCTGCCTATGGCGATATCACGACACCATATTTAAGCGACATTTTAGCGAGTTTACTTCTATCAATATCGCTTGAAGCACGATTACTGTTAGAAAAGGAATAGTTGAAACAGCGAATGATTAATTAGTGGTTTAGATCCAGAATTAAAACCACAATCGCGGTGGATGCTGTCTATACTGAATGGACATGACCATCTGGAACAACAATTTTAGCACACTCATTGAAATATTCGTTTTAGTTTAGATACATTTTTTAAAACGTACCATAAAAAACTCTCAAATCGAACCCGCCACCTTGTGCTGTCATTTGATGTTTAATATCCATCAATATATGGCAAATGATTTAATCTGTACATCTTAGTATTAGTACGCAATAATATTTCATTTTAGAATATTGTGTTAAACGAACCAATAACCACGGTTGAGAAAATACTATGAGATATAGCATTTATACGTGGACCCAAATATATACTTGTAATATATTATCGAAAATAATATCATGCATTAAAGCAAGTGGGCAATTATTTTCGAAGGAGTAGCAACGTGTAAAAAAAAGGTCACGTGCCTGTTTTCCTTCCGATGTTCGAAAACCTTCTTCGACATTAGTGCGTGGCGGAGCGGCATCTAAGTATAGTTATCGAGCGCAGCGAGCGAGAAAAGTCAATCTCTTGCGTGAAAAAAAATCGTCACTCTGAGGAAGAGGAAAGGAGCAGGGTAACGGTGTTGTCTCTTAATTGGTGTTGTTTAAAAGGCATTGTATTTTCTCATTCTCAAATTTTTCGTCACCAGTTAGAAGCAATACGCATGCTTTGTATTAAATACCACGATGCCGTGAGAAGCCGAGATCGTCATACAAGCACAATAATAGTATGTTTACGAACTCATATACATACATAAGTGCTACTTTGAACTCTGTCATCGGGGCAATGATCATAACGATGACAGTTATTCAAGTGTATTTTGCGTTAAGGACACATAATAGAAGATCAATTTTCCGCCTATTGTTGACATCCCCCAAACAATCATAATAATAATAAGGTAAAAAGGTAATTTTTTAGCGAGGTTGTTTCTGTCTATGAAATTTTGAAAAGCTCGATGTCTCGTACGATGCAATCAAACAGGAAAAGTTTTCAGCTTTTTCGCAGTTTCAAAATCAATATTACCATTGGCGTTATAATTTTCTCAACTTACTGAGATTTTTTCCGGATCTCTAATATTCTTGTATTAGATGTCAAGACCACAATGTAAATGTTATCATACAGCTTATGACACAACAGTTACCATAATCAGTTATAGCTAAGCTGGCCTTTATGTGTGACTCACAGTAGGACTGCTACTTCGGTAGTACCATTGTTATTGTGTAGGTTTATTATATGAGACCATAGTAATGTTAAGGCATTCCCCTATTTGCAGATAGAACCAATGACCTATTTGCAGGGCAGGACAAATTAATAAGCGAAACACTGCACTCCTCAAATGGGAAAATTCGTATTCGTTGAGTGAGTTCACGAGCCAGGCTGAAAATCTTTAGAACCCTTGCCTCAAAAGCAAGACTTTTGGCTGCATCTCGGCTGCATTAATAAAGAAAAGTTAAAAGGCAGTGCAGGCCACTTATTCCTGTCTTATATTGAAGAGATTTGCCGTGTCGATCATGCAAAAGTGAATCAACTAAATACGCTGCTCCGAGCATTAAAGCTGTCTTCTTATATATATA